TATTTGTAGGCTGATTTAGGATTTGTCTACATGGCCTAATATAAACTGGTTTGTTGTTGCTAAAGATTCTGTTGATTACAGAACCATTTAAATATTGACCTTGAGCTAATGTAGGTTTGAGAAGTGCTGTATGGACAGAATGCACAATCTCAATTTCCACGTCATCAGGCAGGGCTCCTTGAAAAGCTTGGCGTATTTCAAGTTCTACGTCAATGTCAGTCCACTCTTTGTGAAATTCAAACGCACTGATCATGTGTCCATTTTCCTGCAGAAAAACTTTTCCTCCTTGTCGAGGTACATTCTTGTCATCTGGACCTGATAGTAAGATAAGATCACGCGAGAATGGCCCAGTACTAACTTTTTTTGATTTAGAACATTTTCTCCGACGATTTGATCTCATAGTTGACCGTTGGTCACCGAAATATCTTCTGGTATTGTAGGAAGGAGTTGCCAGATGTGAAGAGGAAGCTGTGACGGATGCATGATTTGTGCAGTGCGACTGCATTGTATTACTTGGTTGATTTACTTCCATACCTGATGATGATGAATGTTGTCCAAACGTCTTTCTTACTTCATTCTCAACCGAGTCGTGAACTTCAACACTAGCATAGTTATTGGAAGATGCCTCGGTACTTGACAAGTCATCCGACAATTCTTCGATACGGTTAAATATTTGCGAATGTATCTCTTTTGCGCCTGATGAAGATTCAGTCGCCATATTGTTTTTAATGCGCCTATAAACGCGGAAAAAATTGGTGCGAAAAAAATGTCGACTGCCATAAAAATTCTCGACTGTAAAAAAAAATTCTCGACTGTAAAAAAAATTCTCGACTGTAAAAAAAAATCTCGACTGTAAAAAAAAATTCTCGACTGTAAAATAAAAATCTCGACTGTAAAAAAAAAAATCTCGACTCCAAAAAAATTCTCGACTACTTTTGTCCACTATGGCTTTCCATATGTAACCTCGGGCGATTTTTCAACAACTGAAGCATCGTCCATTTTAATATATATGGTGACAAATACAGGGGCGGATCTAGGATTTTTGAAACATCAGTCATAAAACGTCGAAGGCGCTCCGCACCTGGGGGGGGGTCTGAGGCATTCTCCCCTGAGAAATTTTGAATTTCAGAGCCTTGAAAATGCCATTTTCAGCGTTTTAGAGCAATACAAAATGTATTTGTGGGCATCGTTTTGCGTAAAACAACACATTTTGCTTACGTTTTTTCAAAAAAAAATGAAGTGAACAATACTTGAATGTTTTGCCAAATATTTAGGCTCATTATCATGCCAAATATATGGCTCATTAGCATGTCTAGGAACGTAAAATTTATTTTACAATAATGCTATTCAAAACAGATATAGTCTTTAAAAATTTCTACCAAGTTGTCAGGCATAGACCCCCCTAGAGACCCCCATTCAAACCTCTATGTAATGAGTTTAGTTAAGTTAGAAATTTGGTACTACAAGTGACAGTTCATAGATATAGAAAAGCTCAGACTTCAAACCATGCAAGTTTATTGTAACCCTTTACCCATCTCCACATCAGTGCCAGCAAATTCGCCTTTTGAGAAAAAACTCAAAATTTTTTTCTGCCAAAGGTTAAGCAAAAATTATCAGAGTGAAAATTTGCAGTTAAGGACAGCTTAATGCCATAAATGATTATTAGGCATTTCACTAGACTATTATCTCCTGTAAGTATATGCAAGGTGTGCTATATAGCAATCACTAGTAGCATTGTATTTGCAAATACAAACAGAATGTAACCAACATGTCTTTAATTATATAATTTTACATGAATGTTAAAATTGGTTCATGTGTCATGCTTACTGGTTATGATAAATATCCTTTCATATGATCAAAGCTTGTTTAAATGTAAATCTGAAATAATTTAGTTTAGAAATTATAATGATCATCAGAAAAATTACCTAGTGATCATGAAAAATACTTTGCTGTTTTGCCAAATTTCAAGGTTTATCTGCATACATAGAAAGACATTTTTACTTTATAGAAAATGCTTTTCATACATCAATAGCCCTTTGGAATTTATGGCAAACAATCTGGTATGAGCTGTAGATTAACACACCTTTACATCTCTACATGAGGTGTTCAGTTAGAAAAGGGGACAATATGTGACATGGGACAACATTTCATGTATGTGTAATACCATTTCAGTCAAATTGTCAAAATAAAAAGCTTCATGGATCAGAAGACTCAAAATCACAGATTATAGTAAACAGCTTCTCATGTAATCAATGTTAGTTTTCTCAAATCTTAAACAATATGTAGTATAACTGTCCAATGATTGAATGATCAATGATCATAAACTGAAAAGCCCCAAACATTTGTTTATGATAAAGTAAATAATAGTATGGCGCCTTATGGCCACACATTTTTTGTCCATTGAAATATATTTGCAGGAATGTAGGATTTCGCTGCCGTATAACGGCCACGATTCCCCAAGCACAAAAGAAATCATAGCTAAAAGTCCTTCGGCAACAACAATTTTAGAAGCATCAATCTGCTTACCATACGCCATATTGACATAAATCGCATTACACACTCGCATAATTGACTTTGATATATTACATTCATGCATACACTTCACTTGTCCTTTACTTACGATTTTGGATGTAAATTTCTGCTGATAAAACTCAAAACAATGTTGGCTTTCTTTTGAACATCAATGACTGAAATGTCGCTCGCGAGATCGTCTTTGCCAAGCATTTAAAATTTATCCATAAATTTTTCACCCTCTTGAAAAAATTCACAGTTTGGACAGCAGCATTCATGTCAATATATGATTTTGTAAAAGATTTCCATAAATTCCATCTGATTGTAGTTTAGTTTCTATCATGCTTATAAAAATTACTATGAAACGATCAAACATTTAATTCAGACAGTGAGCTTGACTATGTTAGTTCAGTTGGCTATCAGTCGAAATCCGTCAAACCAATCACAATAAAGCAAAAATTCAAATGAACCAATTGTAAGATAGCAATTGGACTCCCTTATACGTCCGGCCACCCTTATTATCAGTCGAGACCATTCCAGACTGTCCACTGATCTGGCTATTGACCAATAAAATAAGCGTTTTTGACGTTCATAGACTCCTTTATCCGTCGAACCAGTCAAGCCACCTCGCTTATCAGTCGGTTATCCAGGTCAATTAAAATTCAACTGATCTGGTTACCAACGAGATATTCATTGGATTAGTCATTAGTTTTCAATAATAAATAATGCGGGATTTTTATCACAAAGTAAATGCGATAAGAAAGTAAGAATAATTAATGAATTTTTAATTAATATGAATAGGTAATTTTTGAATTTCAAACATCAGTCGCGCGACGGATTTGACATACTCTAGATCCGCCCCTGGACAAATATTAACAAATGAAATAGAAAAAAGTTTGATCGTTTACTTTATGTTAGAAATATTGATAAGGACAAAAATCTTTGATATTTTATTGTTTCCTGTGCAAACATGACACTCCAAATTGTGGTGACGGCTAGTATTGTTCGCCGTGAATAAATTATTTACATTGCTGTATATTATTAAATAAAAAGATACTACGTGTGTTTGTAAAATCCAACCATATCTTGTGCAGTTATTGCATCGACTGCATCAGAACTGCCAAATTCAAATTTATTTGAACTAAATTTTTACACCTTTCATTTAAGATGTTTTTAACCTTGTTAAAACATAATTCAATAGCGTTGAAATCCGGAAAGTAAGATGGTGTGTATGGCAACTCAATTCCCATAGTATCTAACCATTCCTTCAGAATTTCCCCACCTTCATATCGATGTGCGGAAAAATTGTCCATTACAACAATGTCACCGAAGTCAAGACAGGGGTCGACCCGTGTTTTCTGACAACTTCAACACATCTTGTTCCCTTAGCACTATGACCGTATGTTCTAGTTCCTACACAAGGAACTTTAATTCCAGCTTCATCGAAAGACTTTGCTTTGTAAGGATCTTTTGAAGGAAGATAGTCGATAAGAAGTTGGATATAAAACATGTTTTCCGGTGTAAATCTCACGCTAGTGTCGTCTGTTTTATTCAAGTATGCTTTTCCCCTGAAGGCAATCTGGTTTTAATTGCTCGCGATATAGCTGACATGGAAATTTTTATTGCAGGTAGCTATTGTATAATTTCAGAAAGTGAGATTGACGGAGAATGGATTATTAAAACTTTGATCAACTCAAGGTCACCTTTATTCAATTTAGTGTGTGTCATTCCTCCTTTCACTTTTGGCGTGGTCTTCATTTTCTGGCAAAAACCAATCCCACACAGATTTATTGTCTTACTCGATACACAAAACCTTTGCAAAAGTAGAAGAAATATATCTCGTTGAGCGATTGCTTTCTTTTAGAATAGAATCAATGATTAGACATCTTAAGTCTTGAACTAAAGTGACACCTTGAGTAAAACTTCTACCAAATTTGTTTATTTTTTGAGTCTCCATCACTATCTATACGAACGCCGCTTTACATTTGAAACGTTAATTTACGGATATGAATGATTGAGGATATATATTACATATGTAACATTTAATTGCTACAATAGTTTATCAATGACTAATAATGTAAAAATGTCAATCATACGCTAACGTTTACCAGTTGAAACCTGACGTTTCGTTTGACAAACGTGACGTTTGAAACGTGAACAAAGGCGAACAATTTTGGACACTTACCAGTTGAACGCAAATGGTAATAAAATTGTCACTCTAAAAATGGTTATTATTTACGACAACTTTATTCCTGCATGAACCATTTTCGAAGTCCAATTAAGCGTTTGCGCCAAGTTTTGCGCAAACAAGCTCATCAATTTAGCGATGTTTTCCGAACTATCTACTTTTAATACACCGTTGAACTATGCTTTCAATTTAATTTTATTTGATATTTTTCCACCCGAATTCTTGATATTAATCGTTAATTTGTGAAGATTTTATCAAGAACATTTTGATTTTATTGACTTTTGAATTTCTTGAATTTTAGATCCTTGGATATATAAGTGCAATACTTATCAAGTTGACATGCAAGTTCACACTATACTTTCATCTTCGCAAAAAGGTTTTGTATTGTCTTTTATTTGTTCGAACCGTTTTGAATAGTAGTGTGAATAGCTTCAATTTGTATAAAATTGATAAAAAGCAGATATTTTATCGAAAATCTTTATTTCTATAATTTCACGGAGTGTCTAATGTCGTCTATGTGTTTTACATATGCATTACATTTGCAAAGTCTTAAATTTTCCGAACTTTAGATGCAGTGGTTATATAATTCTTTTAATTGTGAATTGTAACAAGACCATTTAACAATAAGATAAACACGTTTCAAATGCACTCATTTTATTATTTCATTATTTTTTCATGAAAATAAATTTTTGATTTTGATTTTGTTAATTTATTTGAAACTCGGTAATAACATTCGGATTGTATAAGGTATAATATTGATTTTATTGAGGAACAAATAATAAGTGTAACGAGCAACGATATTACCATAATAACCTTCACGTGTTATGACATGTGTCATATCTATCTAATTAATTATGCAAATACTGTATTGTTTATATGCTTTTTGTTTATTTTCATATATCAACAGATTTAAGAATTGCGGGTGTTTTAGATTTGCAATTTTATCGTTTCCTTTCCCAAAACCCGCAGTTTTTTTGTAAATGACCGTTGAAGTTACGCGTTTAATGCAACATGTTTTTGATGGTTGTATCTTTAGTCTTACATTATTTTAACATGAAGTGACCTCGTCCTGTAGCATTGCATGCTGATTAACAAACATCTTTCCTATGGCGTCAGATTTCCGACAATATTCATTCATGGTCTTATATTTTCAACATGTTTTTGTTATTGATGTAAAAACAACATTCACAATGTAAATTCATGTTCATTTTACTATTGAACATGCCAAATTCAACATTGTTTTCAAATTCATCATTTGAATTTCAAGTAAAACTAGACGTCGGAGGATATAAAAATGTTAAATTTGAATAACTGCATGAATTTGTAAAAATAATATTGACGGGTATATGGCACCGCGTTAAATATCCGCCTGAATCAATTATCGCATTACTTCATTTTCATTAGCCCCCCGGAACTAACTGGTGAACAATGTCAAATCTCCTTATAGGCAGACAGCTTATAGATCGTAATTTAGTAAAATTTTCAGTGTATTTATCTTGAAAGGCACCCTTAATGTTAAATATGTTACCTATAAATTAAAACATTGTGCCGAATTAGCAAGTGTTCTATTAGCAATCGCCTTATAAGCAAAAGTAATTTTAATATATTTTATAGTATAAGGATGGGCGATACTATCAAAGAGTATTGAAAAGTACCGATATATTCAAAAGTATCAATATTTTCGATACTGTCCACAAGCATAGGTTATTTCGATACTGAGCCTGCAAAATTTTGCAGTGCTCTTTTCACAAGTTATGTACTTCGTGACGTATGTCCATAATGCACACACAAAGTTGCCATGCGTTCAATAGTAATACATCAAGTCATTTGACAACTTTTTATGGATAATGGACTATGGATGAAGGTTTGTGCTGATTTTAGTGAAAGATATTTTCAACAATTCTTATTGAATTAACGACGAGCTGGTTTTAGGAAAGTAACTTTCAATTCTTTTATTTTAGAACGTGAAAATTGAAATTTACTTCCAGTTGTGTTGCAGTCAGTTGAAAAGCGTCCACTTACTTTTGTAAAAGAAAGTGTTGTTTAGGATTATTTTAAGAAACTATCAAAGAAAAGGGATAAAGCGCAATATGCTCAGAATGTTTCAAACATTCGATGAACACCAACAATCTTTTTAAGGTATGTAAACAAAATAAAGTACAATATTTTACTCATATACTGTATTATAGAAATGATAACAAATTATTTCAAACTGATTTTTTTTGCTGTTTGAATACTATCTCTACGAATTGTATTTTAAACTCTTAAAGTCAAAGCACATAATTCAGTTCAAAGAAGCTGAGAAAAAACAAAAAGAAAATGTGGAGCAAAATAAACAAATCAAAAAGATAAAAGGTGCCACTCCCAAGGAAAAAACAAACTCAGTAGAGAAATTGCTCATACAACAAACCAAATACTCCCCGACTTCCTTAAAAAGAAAAACAATCGATGAAGCTGTCTTTAAATGATTGTTAAAGATATGCAACCTATATCTGTCGTAGAAGATGAAGGATTATATTACGTGTTATATTACGTGTTCTTGACCCAAGGTACGAACTACCTTCAAGAAAAAACATAATGCGAATGTTGCCTAACGCATACAACAAAAAAGTAGAAGAAATCAAGAAGAAAATTTTTCAAGTTTCACTTGTAGCCCTTACAAGTGACTTGTGGTCATCCAGAATAACAGAGAGCTATATCACCATCACATGTTATTTGCTTACTTCCACTTGAGAACTTAAGTCATTAGTCTAAGAGACTTTGAAGTTTGAACTGAGCCACACTGCTGAAAACATTGCAGATGTTCTCCTGAAAGTGTCAGATAATTAGGGTATATCAAGCAAAGTTGTTGCCATTGTTACAGATACTGCTTCAAACATTGTTCCTGCCATAAAAATTGCTGAGTGGATGCACATTCCTTGTTTTCCGCACACGTTAAATCTTATAGTTTCTGATGCCATGAAGTCAAATGAAAATGTTAGTGATTTGAAGAAAAGATGCAAGCAAATTGTCACATTAAATCATGTTCAAAATCAGCTAAAACTTCCTAAACATAAACTCACCCAAGAGGTAGACACCCGATGAAATTCTACCTATTACATGTTTGAACTGAATGTTGAGCAACACGAAGCTATCACAACATCCCTTTGACTGTCTGCTCACAATAATTTTGCCTTTTATTTGCAAATTTTGAATTACTGGAAGCATCAGTATCCGTTTTGCTGCCTTTTGAAGCTGCTACAAGAGAGATTTCAGCAGATCGATATGTGTCTATTTTTTAGGCTATATCACTGGCAAAATTTCTTCAGTACTTAACTACTGGACGTTCCTGCGAAATATCACTTAGATCTGAGTTGAGTACTCAATGCGTCGAAGATATACTTCAATTGAGCGAGCCCATCTTGTTCTTTCCACCCTAATCGACCCAAGAATAAAAAAGATGGCTTTTTCAAATCAGGAGGCTGAACGGCAAGGGGAACAATGAATCATTCAGGTGACTAAAGATTTAATAGCACAAGAATCTACCAACGGATTGCAATTACAACAAAACGATAATATTGAAAACCATTTCGAGGAAAAGAGTCCTGGTCTGTGCGATCTTTGATAAAAGGGTTAGTGATTCACGGTCTTCCAGAAATTCCTCTAGCAAAACATTGGTTGAAGTTCATACCTACTTTGAACGTATGCCATAATTTGAGGATCTACTGAACTAAAAAGTATTTAAGTGTTCCTAGTACATCTGTCCCCTTAAAGACCATTTTCTAAGGTAGGTGAAGTTTTTTCTATTCGAAAAAAGTGGCCACAAGCCGCTAGGGCGAATCACTTTTAGTTTTTATCACAAATGACGTCTTTCCCGTGTATCTATAACTGTATAGACAACGGTTAAATGTTATCTATATGTCTTATATAATAATATCAACAAATTCCCAAATTAAACGGTCAAACAGTTTGTTTTCTTTTTCTCACAACACTTGGAACATTGAAAAGTCTTGATTGTGAAAATATCACGCTTACGTGATCTACAGGATTGAAGAAATGCTATTTGCTATCTTAATCGCGTGATAAAATGTGATTGGCTGACAAAATAAACATGCAATGGCTGATCTTTTTTGTTAAAATTTGCTGTCGAAGACAAAGTACAAATCAATGTTCGAAAACCTTTTTTTTCTTTTTGCTCAAATACATCCATTGCTTCAACTAGACACTCTTAATTTCTTTGTTTGCCACTTTCAGGGATAAATTCAGGTAAATATTTAAATAAATTCACCGTTCGTTTGTCATTTAAAACAAGAAATTTTATGTGACGTCAATTCCGTGCGTCTGTCCTCTTATAGATCATAGCTCTTGACCAATGAAATTGCTCAAATTCTTCTTGTTATTATATAGCATAATTTATTTATCATGTTCCCAAACAGTCATAAGTTATCTTGTATTTTGTTTTGGAAAAACATTTTCAAACCTGACCTTGTTAGCTTGCTGTTAAAACAGTTTATTTCTGAACTGTGCGTTCTTGTCCACCTTTAATCTTTAATTATTTTTGTTTTGATTTGTAGTTTTAAGATGGTTACACTTAAAATATATGTTGGTTTTCAAAATTATTTTTACTTAACATTTTTTCAGCCTACTTCTCAATGACAACAAGCACTTTTTACTAAAAAATATTTGCAACCCGCTTTCAGCAATTAGTGTCAGGGACATGGATCAACTTTTTTCTGTAAACTGTCTTTTTTCTCTTTTCATTGCAAGAAATATCACGCCTCATTTCATCACCCTTGATGTAAAATTGTTGCAAGTTGTGCAAACTATGTTAAAGTGTCAAATACAATTAGTAAGTAATTTTTTTTCGTTTAGGCACTCGTGAAAATTGAGTGATTTTGTTTGATAGGATTGTTGCATAGATTTTTCTTTCCACTTTGAAAACACTGAAAATCACTTTTCTGATGGTCGAAATTTCAAAAATAAAAACTGCGGAGCATGCCTCCAGACCCTCTAGTCACGGCTCGCATCTTTAGTGCTTGCAATGACCCGGTGACACGGACAGCTCAGGAACTGGATCCGCCCCTGCATCAGGTTTGCCAAATCGTGTCAGCTCGTGTTGTCAAATTTATTTTTATTATCTTCTATTAAAACTGGATCGTTAATACGAACAGTTTATGTTATATCAGCAAACAGTTTATCAAGGAAATTAAGAAATCGAATAAGCTCTTCTGAGTTAGATGCATCGGACACCATTTTTTGAGAAATAGAATAGTTTAGAAGCCGCTGACCTCTTGTACAGACAGAAATCTCGACATACGATTTCTTTTTCTCTACTATCAATTTCTTAAACTCGACACTCGATTTCTTTTTCTCGACTATCAATTTCTTTAGTTTTACACTAAACTATCAATTTTTAAAACTCAAAACAGTGGATTTTGTGTCCACTTTGGCTTGCCATAGTTTTTGTGTCATAAAATTTTAAGAATGAACGTGTGCTTGTTCCTTTCTTATGTCAGTGATGTTATAATGATGTAAAATATCCCTAAATTATTTCGAATTCCTAAAATTAGCTGAGAAGTAAATATTTTAATTTTTTGATTGACAAAGCTACACCATTTTCATAAGGCTTTGCTTAACTGGTTTGTGCTTCACCCTAAAACATTAAAAATCCAGTTAGTTTGATATATTTATATTGAAATAAACATTATTTTTATGGAAAAATACACAACGAGTTTTACTCCACTTAGTTGTGTTTGTATTTAAATATTTTAAAAGTGAAGTCATTCATGTTCAAATGGTTTTGTATGCTTTCGTCGGACATTTTGTCAAAGCACCTACTTAATTGTCTGGGCAGCTACTACAGCTTGCTAATTTATAAAATACGATCGACACGAGTAAATTAAGTTGCTAAATTGCTAGTAATGTATGTACATTGAATTTTTATTATTTAATCAATTCCTCTGTGGTTGAGGAACGTCAGAATGAGAATTGAAACTTATAGAAATCTTAAAAGGAAAAAAATCTCCATAGATAATTTCATTTTTATGCTCTGATTTCAAAGCAATATTTTCTTGTAAAACATAAATAGCAATAGCTTTGTTGTACACTGGCAGTCATCTAGAACTGATTGCGTATAAAGTTCACACAGTTAGACATGCCCGAAACAAACAGCAAAGAATAAACTATTAGGGCCTGATTATATGGAGGCGAGCTGGCCCGGATAGCGAGCTAGCCCGATGATTTCAAAGGATTGAAAGAAGACAAAACTTCAAGGTTAAAAATTACAACTGTTTGCAAAACGCCTGCCACACGTCATTCCGGTTGTAATTCTCAAATTAGGGCAAATTGCTTGTTTTGATTTTAAATGTTGTGCGTAGTTATTAAATCAGAATAATGTGAAATTGCTTGATATGATTTATCTGATGATAAGTATTAAATCGTTTCCATTTGTCAAAATCATTTAACGGCTTAAGCCCGGCTACCGAGCTCATGTAATCAGCCCCTTAGCGGTTTGTCTCCTCTAGATTTAACTATAGCGCTAAATCTTCGCATGTGTGTTTGTGTAATTATTTAGATATTTCTCGGACAGCCTTGCCAAACATCATTTAATGCAGCCCTAAATTCTTTAACATTTGTGAGATGTTACGCTTTAATCACTGTCGTGATTGTCATTCTTCTCACATAAACTCTTCCACGTTTATTTTTTAATAACACTTTGTGGTTTGTCATTAAAATTGCCTTGGTCCACTAGCTGTGTGTTTGTGCAAACTGTTAGCTAGTAAGACGTGGTTTCGATGGCTTGCTGCTATCAAGACCTGCCTCTCGTATTTGTACAGCTATGCTATCCTGCATCTTATATGCCATTCATTTCCGTGCTGGAAGTTGATCGTTATCACACTCTCTGTTCTCAACAAACACTTACATAAATACAAACTTCTCTTTGGCTGTAGCTTTCTTCAGATAATTGAAACACTTTGCAACGATTTTCAAATCTCATTTGTATCTATAAACCCATAATTTTACATCTTTCATTTCTCCAATGATAATTGGAGAGGGAAATGGGGGGGTATTCATATAGGCATGTTATACAGTGTTAATTTCTTTGGAAATCCATTGTTTTCTTCGGATTATAACATGTGACATATCAATAAGCGCCCCCC